GCCGCTGCTCTGCTGGCTGTCTGCTGCCGCTCCTACCAGCCGCAGGTCATCCCCATCAACCACTTTGTCTTCCTGCGCCTCTGGGTTCGTGCCGCCCCAGGGTTCAAAAGTTCACCCGGCAGGGTTTCACCATCCCAACCTGGAGGGGCGGGGATCGATACACCTTACATGGTCCGCTGGTGGCTCCGCCTCTCCATGGGGTTCTGCCACCTCCAGGAGTCACTCTGCCACACTCCACCTGCTGACCAGTGAGCCGCCTCCACTGTCCGGCTCTGCCAGCCGTCTGTTCACGCCCCTGGCTGCCAGCTGGTTGCTCCTGCCGCTGCCCTGCTGGGCGGCTGCTCCTATCAGCCGCAGGTCATCCCCATCAACCACTTTGTCTTCCTGCGCCTGCAGGTCGCCCCCACCAGCTGCATCTGCTGTCCGCCTGCACTCACCAGTCGTCCCGGCAAACCGCTCTGCTGTCTGCCTGCGCTTGCTGGTTGTCCCTTGTGAGCTGCTCTGCTAGTAGCCTAACAGCTTAGCACCAGGCTCCCCTCAGCAACAGTGATTTCAGCTCATAACAGAGGAGCCTTACCACTAGCGCTCCACAGTGAAGCTAACTCCACAGCTCACAACTAGACTCCTAATAGAATCCAAATTAACTCTGATATTCCAGAGTGGAGAGGGTGCAATTGGTCTTGTTTAGGCCCTCAGACAGAGCCCTACCACCAGGTACAGAGACCTGTCCCCAGCCTCTCAATTTGGCTGGGTTTGGAACCCATGCCCCTTTTCTAGCGAGTGCTACTTAGTTTATGGCGAATCCCTCTGTCATAAACAGTTCCACCATTCCATTGTCCTTGATTCGCATAATCAGGGTAACACTTTTATCCCCCTGCCTCAATAACAGAGACTGGGGATCCCACAGTGGCCAAAGTGACCATTTGGGCTGCTGTGAGCCCATACTAGACAGGGTGGGTGTGTATGCAAATTGGGCTCAGCCCCTGAAGTCTTTGCACCACTTGCCACAGTTCACCACCAGATGTCAGGATAGAGTTTACCCTGACCCCACTTACAGGTGAACTCAAATTTTGCATTTGTTCCTTGTCGATTTGAAGGGCTGTTTTCACAGCTGTCATGAACAGTTTTTGCCAATAATGAGATGTCTTTGAATTTTCTGTAAGATTTGTCCTTGTTGTGAAACTCATAGTTCTTGACCAATTTTTAGCATGTGTCTCTTCATATAATCCCTGTGAGTGAAAGGCTTCTCCTCTCAAGTAATGCTGTAGGAGTCCGCAAAACTTGTGGGCTATGTCTAGACTGGCATGATTTTCCACAAATGCTTTTAATGGAAAAGTTTTTCCGTTAAAAGCATGTGTGGAAAAGAGCGTCTAGATTGACACGGATGCTTTTCTGCAAAAGCACGTTCGCCATTGGGGCTTTTTTGTGCAAAACAGTTTAGCTGTCTGTGCTGGTCCTCTTACGCAAAAACATTTCCGGAAAAGGGCTTTTGCCCAAACGGGAACATCAAAGCATTTGCGCAAGAAGCACTGATTTCGGACAGTAGAACGTCAGTGCTTTTGCGCAAAATCAAGTGGCCAGTGTAGACAGCTGGCAAGTTTTTGCACAAAAGCAGCTGCTTTTGCGGAAAAGCTTGCCAGTCTAGATGCAGGCGTGGAGTTTAAGATCCCATCTTCCTTTGAGCTTGCCAAAAGGCTATTTTGTCCAATGTTCATTTTTCGCTGAAGTTCCTTGCAGACATTTTGGGGATGTACCACCCTTGGGGTATTTTGTAGCAAATGCGAAAAGTTTTGTCATGCAACGTTTGAGAACAATCTCTCATTACAAAATGAGTGTGGGGAGATCCAGATCTATCCACAAATGCACCCAAGTGTGTCCTCTCCTTTTGAAAATTGGCACTTATCTTTCTCTCCCCACCATTTTTACTGTTAGGGGGCTACAGAGTTCACCATCATGATGGAAAGATTTGACTAACCCAATACAAAGAGAAGATGCATGACCCCCAATGAGTGGAGACGATGGATGGTTGTTAAAATGAATAGTTAAAGGTGAAATGGACAAAAAACCCAAAACATTGACGTGAGTAATTACAAGTTTAAAATTTTGAATTTTCTTCATTTTAATTTAAAAAGTTGTGTGAATTTTGGGAATGAGAGCTATATTTGGTTCCCTACTGAGCCATATTTGGCTCTAGAGCCATAGGTTGCAGGCCCCTATTGGATCTATTAATGTTTCAGGACTGCCATAACAATCATGCTTCAAACTTTGCAGTCTGAGACATGCAACTTAAGGATGCTAGAAATTCTATTCATTTGCATTTGATCTCCCATGATCATAACGGTCATGGGAAGAAATGAGAAAACCAATTTGCCTACCCCTGGTGTAAACCCTACCACACTCTTCAGGGCCCAACAGCTGTTCAAAACAAACCAAGTCCAGTAAAAACCCTGTACAGTGTGGCCCCAAATAAACAATTTATAGTGTAACTCATTTCCATAGCTCATGGAAATGACATTGCATATGTAGAGTTCATATGATCTCAACTTTCAATTTTTATTATGGGCCAAATTCAATCCCAATTTTTAGAATTAATATTAATGTTAATTCAAATTAGGTCTGTCTGAAATATGAGAGGCCAGCAATTGCCGTAGTTTTGCAGAAAAATATTTCTGGCACCCTGAAGAGTTGCATGTTTCCTTTGTAGTGTGCAGTTCTCTTGACTCTAATGGGATGGAGCACCGGCAATTGCCGTAGTTTTGCAGAAAAATACTTCTGGCACCCTGAAGAGTACAAAGGAAACATGCAAGTGTGCAGTTCTATCTTGACTCTAATGGGATGGAGCACCACAGCATACAACACAGATTCTGAAATATGGTTATGTAATAGCAAAACTCTACTTGCTCTTAAAGCAGTATGATGTATTTGACCAACCAGTTACTGCAGGGATTTTGTTCCCGACTGAATCACCGTCACAAGTATAGAATACAAATTAGTCACTCTAGGTGTTATGTACCCTATTTTGAAGAATCAGCATATTTCACATGAGACTCAACTCTTGTTTGACAATTTCACTAGTGTATTCTGAAGTTCAGTAACATTTGGTAAGCAAAGTAAAAACAAAACAAATGGCATAGAGAAAGGACTAATACTGAATTAGGACTACTGCCTAAAATATTTGTCATGGCCTGGAGAGACACAGCAGACTCCATTATCTTAGTCAGTTAGTGGTCATTATGTATACAAAAATAAAATAGGCCAGAAGTGAGTTTTATGGTTCAAATTATTTGGCAGAATTCCACTGGATGAAATTCCTCCAAACAGTTCTTGTTGAAATCTCATTGCAGAAGTGCAATGGCATGTCAGGTATCGACTCATTTTTACAAAACAATTTACTATTTTTGTGCAATGAAGTTTTCTATTTATCTGCAGCAGGATAAAATACATACAAGTACAATAACTGTCCCTTCTACTTCTAAAGCTAATGAAGAGAATATATAGATTCAACAAAGTGGCACTGCTTATCTATGGCCCTGCAGATACCTGTAATACTGTACTATAGCTGTAATATAGATGAACCATATGGTGATAATTTCATATACCTCCAAACACGGGGATCTTGCCAACACATACCTGTTTAGCACTTGTGCTGTTAGGATTATTGGTTTATGCCACCCTCAAAAAGTTTAACACAAATAGGTAGTCTCATTTTAAAATTAATCTTGTAAGCAACTCTACGGGAGGGAGGAGACTGCTCCCCACCCCCAGGCCAATGGGGGTAAGGGGAGCATGTTAAGTCTCCTCCCATTGTGCCAACAGCACACAGCACTTCTAAAAGCCATGCGCTCCCTGGAGGGTGGGGGCAGGGTAAGAAGAGACTTCACACACTTCTCTGCCCCAGGTCCTGATTGGCCCAGGGGCAGAGGGAGCAGCATGGCTTCCATGAGCCAGATCCAGCCAGAAAACCAATTTGCCTACCCCTGGTGTAAACCCTACCACACTCTTCAGGGCCCAACAGCTGTTCAAAACAAACCAAGTCCAGTAAAAACCCTGTACAGTGTGGCCCCAAATAAAATTTCAAAATGTCTAGCTAAGTCTGAAAGCCACAGCATCATGCATCTTTCAACAAGCCCACAGAATCTGTATTACCTAATAAAACATAGTGAGACAGTTACATTATGGATTGAGTTCTCATGTTAGTCCTGATTTTTCTGTCCTGTGTGGACTTCTACTAATGTATACTCATTGTCATGCTCATGGTCCACCAATATTTAGGATCGTAGTCCTGGCTCCACCAGTTTGGTCTTATAGACTTCCCATCCATAGGCTTGAGCCCTGGGTTTTGGGGAGCTCTGTTTCAGGCAGAAGTGGGGGCCAAGGTGATTAGTCTGGCACCACCAGCAGCCAGCAGCCTGGCCCCTGCTCTGCTCACCCCACATCTTCCCAGCCCTGCCTTGCACCCTCCCCACCTCCATTCCACCCTTCCCTAAATCCTTGTTCTGTTTCTTCATGGCTTTCATCCTCTGCCCCCACCCTAGTGACATCATGAGCCAGCAAGGTAGAGCAGAGTAGGACAGGCTGGGGCATTTACTGCTACCAATGCCAGATCCCCTGCTAATCCACCAGGCTGCCCTGGACCCCATGATCCCTGAAGTGCAAGGATTCCTGGAGTGCAGTGCCTGGGGCTTTTATCTCCTATATTTTCTGGGCACCAAACATTATACAAACATGGCACCCTCTTTGCCTTTCTCTGAATGCTATCTTCTATAAAATGAGTTTGATGAGCTTCCCCCAGAATTTTTAGAATGGTAGCTTGATAATTGAAAACACCATTGTTAAAAGTTAAAATGCCATAAACAAAAGCTGAAGTATTTATTGTTGTTTAAATATTTTGAAACCACCACCACCAGTGGTTGGGCAGCAGGCATAACTTATTCCAAACCTACCTTTCCACATACAAGGAACTGTAGTCTGTTGGGTAAAGGGGTTATTAGAAAAATGATTAACATGCATCTCAGCTTCCACTTATGGGTAATTAACTGGAACCAGTGTGAATGTTATCCTGAGGAACAATCTGAAAGAGATATTGTGCAATAACTCTCAACTTGTCCCATGCAGGGATTCCTCAGACACATTCACTCAAAGCTATTTGTTTCTAATATTAAGGAATCAGTGTTGTGAGTTGCCACCCCTTCCTTCTACTTAGAGGGCCCTATAAATATGGTTTGTCTTTTAGACAGAGCTTTATAAATGAACCAAATTAAAACTTGAAAACATATATTTGATTTGGTGTCCAGGAGAAATAAAGTGTCTATGGATTTACTTACAACATGGTAGATACTGTCAGATATGGTTAAACTTTGTAATATCTCCTGCCCAAACCAAAGAATCTCAACAGGCATGTCAGTTTTCTTTATCCTTTCTCTGCAGAAAGAATTAGGCATGATGAAAGGGTGGACCCTGTTCTGAGACAGTGGCGAGTTCTGGGGGGGACTATCACTAGTTTAGATCTTTCTGCTCATGCATTTGAGCATTTTTAGGCTGGATTATTGACACGGATTAAAATTAAAACTTGAACCCACTTCAAAACCCTCATCCGCAAAGTTACAACTAAATCCCCAAATATTACAAGTAGCTTACCTATGCTGGCAAATGGCAGTCCTCCAGCCAATTAGCGAATATGTTATAGAAGACTCTGAACATTTCAGTCCAGGATCTAAGCAAATCATGATAGTCAACAAGAAAGGACTCCATAAAAGCAGAAAAAAAGAGCAAACAATCAAACCAAAGAAAAATATCAAAGAATGGCCCAGTCTTGAAGAATGATACATTATAAAGATTATGTCTACACCACAGCATTATTTCGGAATAACTGATGTTAATTCAACTTTTGCCCTTCTATGTAGATGTACCCAATGTGAATTATTTCAATTTCATAACGAGTGGGTCCACTCATTATGAAACCCACTGGCCTCCCGCAGTTTTTCATAACGAGTGGGTCCACTCATTATGAAACAAACTGCAGGAGGCCAGTGGAAGTCAGTCTATAGTATTGCAGGCAAGCTCCTGGATCCAGAGCATTGGATCATGGCTGCCCAATACATAAACATGAAGTGCATTCTTGTTGCTGATGACTGCATGCCAGGTAATGAGCTACAACAGCAAAGCTTGAAGGGTTGTAGAATAAGAGGACTCAATCTGCTGGAGTGTACTCAAGATCATAACATGTTTTTATTAAAGATCACTAAAGCATGAAGACTTTAGGGTCAAATGCTGCTCAGTTTCGATTACACAATTCCTATGGATGTCAATGGCACTGTGGTGTGTAAGAGAATAGCATTAGCTTCTAAGTTTGAAGCTGCCCCATACCTGCAACTTTCCTTGCTAGTCACAAAATGTGCAATAGTTTGCTATGCAGTTTGATTTGCATAAAGGGGGGGTCATAAAGCATAGGCACTGCTCCCATGCTAAAATTCCCTATATTTCCAACTACTACGGGAACTGTGGGTAGAGAGGTTATTGGTGCAATGAAGTGGAAGTAGACGCAGAAGTTTCCCAAATGTATTTCCCCCCTCCCCTCCGATTCATTCTCATTTTGTGCGCTTGTAAAATTGCCGGTTGAACTTGACTGAGGGTTTAGTGCAGCATAAATACATTATAACAATCAATAGAAGATACAAAATTTGCATAATATCCTGCTTTAAAATAAACTCAGAGTCCCAGATGTAATGCTACATGTTAATAATTCATTTATAAAAAATGAAGTCCAGTTTTAGACATTGGAGTACACACAAAAATACTAACCTTCACTGTTTTAAGTAGCTATGCTTTTCCTTCCTCTCCCAAACTAAAACATTTTTCCCCAAAATTGTGTCACAAAACTGTGTTCTGGGTTAGCCACCGAGTCTCTGGGACTGAGGGAATGTTAGTGGTTAAATTATAAACCCTTGGGAACAGTTTATAAGACAAACATTAAAAGAGCCTTAACTACAGTAGCGTAAACCATGATGCTATAAATTATTGGGTGGTGGTGTTAAATGCATTGGACTTCTGGTCTCTGGCACCAGAAACCTGCTCATTTG